GGGGACCTTTGCAGGGGTGCATTTGACAAAAGGGTGTCCTCTAACCAACCCCCGTACATTAGGCGCACTGCCAGACCGGCGTCAGACCGCGCCAATCAGCAAGTTGGTCCTACTAGGGGCAACCCCGCAGAAGCCCCCCTTTTAACAAATACGCCCTTGCAAAAGACCCCCTTTTGTTAGTTTTCCTCTTGGGGGTGTTGTAGGGCTTTGTGGGGACTTGGCAATACCATTAAAATGCCCCCCCCCTCCCCACCCATTTTGGTGTCTCAATTAATGCAATTGGTCTCCATAAAGATACATGAATCATTATGAACAATGATATGATTGTGTTAGTACGGCATGGTTTCTAGGCTCAAGGGTTATTTTCAACCAGATGTTGGCAGTGACTTCACTTTATAAAAGCGCTCTTACGAAATCAAGAGTGCTACAATTATCATGCACCTGCCAAAACTTGTATTTGTTAGTCTTCAGCCCTCACAAAACTCCCCAAAACACAGAATATTCAGGCCAGAAATTGCTACACAATGACTCCAGAACATTCAAAGTTGTGGGCACCATCCCTGCGCTCTAACACCACAAGAACTCCATTATACCTTTTGTATTTCATGTGGCCCATATCCAAACCTACAATATTTTGGCAGCATGTCCATGCAATTGTAACACAAATAGATACATGAGAAACACTAACTCAAAATGACCCTAACTATCAAGCCCCAGAGCTGTGTGGCTATTGCGATTCAATCTTAAAAACTCCTCCAGCATTCCAAGGATTTTCTTGTATCCTCCTTCAAACTCCTGATCTTCTTCCTCAAAAACTCTGTCCTTCGCTCTGTATATCTACCGGTAATGAACATCCTCTCCTTCTTGGCTTTTTATTTGGCGTTGCAAGGCCTTCCCTTGGACAGCCTGGGACAACTTGGGACATTTTGGGACATTCTAGGATATTTGGGACATGACCCGTTACATTCTTGTTCTGACTAAATATTTTGCCCTGCTGCTTGGGACTCCCCTGCAGGAACATTCTGGCTTCTATGAACAATGCTGATATCTTGCTTTCCTTTTGTTTGGGATCCTACATCGGCTCTTGCTGGAAAAAGATCCTACTATACTTTGAGAGTTGCAAGGGAGTTCCCTCGTTTTTAGACATGTGTAGTACATTTGGAATATATATATATATATATATATATATATATATATATATATATATATATATATATATATATATAATGTGATGATGCACTACATATCTTGCACTTAGCATCGCTGACAATTGCTGACTTGTTGGGCTTGCTACACCAGCACTAGCAAAAAAAGAACCAAATAACATTTTCCAAGTACACATAAAACACATTTCATCAAAATTCTGCATGCTACAAATGCAAAAATAACCTAAACCCTTAAATTTTGTACACATTTGAGCATATGTTATTTGGATCTTTTTTCCTAGTGCAGTGCATTCAATGAGCTCTAAGTGCATCTCATCTTTAGCGATGTACCATTGTTGATTCCCTCCTCTGCCGTAGATTGCTGCTCTAGATTTTTGTAGTTTCACTCTGAACTTGCACCCACTACCGTACTTCAGAGCACTCTCACATCCAAGCACCACAGAGCTTCTCCCTTTGCTAGTCTTGTCAATGAGCACCATCTGACCTTGAGCAAAAGCAAAGTCTTGGATGGCTTGCATAGTATCGGACCTGGATTCCCAAGTATCTGTGGAACTGAGTTGTGGAAATACATTGGAATCAGGCTCATCACTAAGCTAGCCATCCCTAGATCCCCATATCTGTCCTACGCAAGTCGGTTTGCACTCACAATCACACTATTTTGCCTACAAATCCGTGCTTTTCTTGCTACGGACACGCTCGCAATCGCCCAGAGAGGCTCAGCCATTGCAAGAGGATCTTCAGCCATTTGACCAATCACCAAACGATTCTTAGCCTTTACTGGTTACCTAAGCCTTTACCCCTCACTCCTTGCTTTGCCATGGCTGTGCTCACCATTGTTGTGTCCTCCTTGATGCAACTCCAATCTTTGCGACTCTCTCCTGGAGCTCCGATCGCCACTTGATCTCCTAGGTAGCTTTGACTTACCCTTGCTCTCAATGCAACTCCAGTCACCGCTTGCTCTCCCCACAACCCCGTTCGTTGCTTGGTCCCCCCAGCAGCTCCGATTGCTACAACTCCCTCCTGTAGCTCTGACCATTGCGTGCCCCTTGCACCCTCCTAGAGGAGTCGCCCCTAGTAGGACCGTGGTCAGGTCTCGCGCCATACCGGTCCCGGTATGGCGTCGGTCTGGCGCCGGTCTCACAACGCGCCTAATGTATAGGGGACGGTCAGAGGACCCTCTTTTGTCAAATGCACCCCCACGGAGGACGCCCTTTTGTCAAGATATCTTATAGAGGACCCCCTTTTGTCATTTTCCCGTCTGAAAATTTAGACATAGCTTTGCGAGAAATTTCATTGAGAAATGAGGTTTTTGTGATGGAGAAGTAAGGCACCAAAATCATAGAGGACAATTAATTCTGGAAAGAAGAAATATATAGAATTCCATTGTGTTACGTGCTGATATGAGCGAGGAGCTCCCCCACAAGTTGCAAAGCACAACTGGATCCTTTCATAGCAGAAGCTGATGTAAGGTCCCAAACAATGAGATAGAAAAAAAAGCATCAATATTTGGATAACATTCAAGATCCATGCAGGGGAGTCCTAACCACCAGAGAGGAAATGTTAAAAAGGGGAGAAAGAGTTCGTCAAGCCATGTCCTAAATATCCCAGAATGTATCAAAGCATCCCAATATATCCTGTGTTTGTTACCTTGTCTGGCCTCCAGCATCAATCTAACAGTATTTATGTCAACAAATACCTCCCTCAATGTTGAGTACATGCCCATCAAGAAAAACCTTAAAAATTGGGCCAAGAAAGGTAATCTTAATCTAGGAAGATAAGCCCATTTCCAATTGCTATGTCCATTACATGGACACTGACACATTGTGTCAAGTAATGGATCTCATTGATTAGTTGCTATTGTTGAAGAGCAAAACGGCGACAGTAGAAAAGTTTGTGGATTCTATCATCTATAAGATAGTGACACCATGTGTATCGTGAGTCATTGTGGAGGTGGAAATAGTGTAAGTAGTGTTTGGTTAGATAGTGGCATGTTAGAAATTGGGCCACTAAAGACACATTTCTATGTGAGAGGTCTTTAGTCCAACTCAAGGAATAAGAGAACCAAGGCATGACCCCATACAACCAGTGGCCGTGAATGGAAATGCACCGCAATGTCTCAAGGGGAGACACATAGTGGCGTCTAATCGAGGTATTAACAGCCACATACAATGTGGACCAAAGATGACCTCAATTCGACCAAGACCATTAGCTGCAAGTTTGGCTATAGAGTCTACTTGGTCATATTCTGTGATTCTTATATGTCTTTGGATCCACCTTAGTTGTAGACTTGAGTTGTATGCTTGTAAGTTCAACAAGCTGCATTGAGTGCTGACCGCAAGTCCTTTGCCACTTTGCTGACATTGCATTGCCTGTAGGGTAGACATAGCATCACAAGCAATTGTGTACTAATAGTGTGAAATGGCTGCTTGGGGTCAGTCTTAATTGGCATTTTTTGCAGTGCAATTTAGACATCTCTACAAACCACCTTTGAATAGCTTATTTAAAAGCTCTAAGAGCTTGATGCCCCTAGGCAGCCTAGGCTAGGCTTTGGAAACACCCAAATCCATTAAGAATTAAGGAAGTCATGGCCTCCTGAAGTTTTAGAACTTTAGGGGCATAGATGAAGGGGTTAATATTTAAGTCAATGGGGAAACGGGTCAGTTGTGGGTGAACTGGGGATGGTGACGATGTGCCTGGGTGTGCACTTATACTGTCTTGTCATGATGTGAATGCGATAGACCCGTGATTAGCCATCACACATGCTATATGTACATGCACATGTTGTGAATCCGTGTGACACTCTTGGCCCAATCTCTAGCCTCATGCAAGCCAGCAAACTACCATACTGTTGCGCCACCACCTCTTGCCGACAGCAGGCCCCGGAGATCAATCCCCATCGAGCATTGGGCCTACCATGTGACCTTCCAAGCATCTGCCCCAGATACGCCCACCGTCCAGATTGAGAGGTCAGCCAAACCTCCAATGGTTGTGATGTAGGGCAGGGCGACACCAATGCCTCCGGAAACTAGTGGCTGCCAATGGGGCCGCAACAGATAGAAGGGTCCAAATTTCAATGCATGGCGGCATACTAGTAGGAGAGCAATCAATTCTATATATGTGCTGGAATGATAGCTTATAAAATGAGCAGCGGTTGAATGACCAATAATGTTTGTGTCTCTAGAAAAGTGGCAGATGAGCCATATTAGTCAATGTCAGTATGAGTGTTGGGAGTTAGTGACCCATCTATAAAGATCTAGAAGTGGTTAGGTATTGAATTAATAGTGCTACTATTCAAATAACACATGCCGCATGCATGGTAGATACAATCCAACGCGTTTTCTCTATGTAAGAAATAAGGGAAAAGGGAAGAATCATTAGAAATTGGATTAGTATACTACCACAGCCGTTTTCCAACATTGTAAAGAGTGTGTAGTGGAAGGTGATTGAAAAGACCCCCTAGTTCATGCTGGAGAATATCAACTAGTGCTATAGTTTTGTTAACTCCTTGTGCCAGGGGAGTTAGTTAAAGTAGTTCATGTCCATGATTCAGGTGTCAAAAACAGAAGATAGAATTCGACAAGATATTATCAAGTATATAGTTTAGCAGACATGAAGCCAATGATGAATCAGGCGGGTTAGTGTGGAGCCGTCCGATAGAGGCCCATAATGGCAATTGCTGCTTGTTGAAGTACAAAGTTGGTAGGTGCTAGTTTTGATGGAGAACGAACAAATTAAAGTGAAATATGGTTGTTGTCGTTTCTATTTTTATCACTCAATATGTTCACTTGCATTGTTGTGCCCAATTCTGAGCTTTCATTTGGTGCTAATCCACAGAGTCACTTTTGACAACATGTTCGCAGAGGAGGAACGTGATATCCTGATTGAAGCAAGCATCCCAGCTGTGGAGAAGCCCATGCCAATCCACAAAATTCTCCAAGTCACTGTCTCATACTTTGATCCAATCTCCCATGAGTCCGTGGAACAGGGTCCAATAGTTTTGTCCATTAAAAGGACGCAAGGAACTCAAATGACGAGTCCAGATACCGAAGTGGAAGTTACAAGGGCTATCTTCAATGCTACTCAGGTGCGGCACATGGATGCGTCACGAGTGTTGGCATCAGCGCTGGATTGCAAAATTGTGAGCACTGAGGCTCTGGGGAAGATGACATTTCCAGACATGGACATCCATTATATGTTAACGGCGCCCTATGCACTATGATTTGATGGTCATGGTGTTTATTTCTAAATTCAAGTAGTTGCTGTCGATGGCTGTCCATCTGATTTTTTCCAAAGCAGATACTCTTGAGTGCAACGGTGTGAAAAGTCTTGCACGACCAAAATGGTATTTCTATAATGAAAGAATGTTGGGGTGAAGGACGGTTGACTTGATGTGCACATCGCTGACATCATCATCATCAAAATCCATGGATTACATTTGTCACAAAATGACAAAACACAGCCCGTGCACCTGGTAGGCGATGATGGGCGTGGAAACCAAACAGATAGTGTGTCCAGAATCGGTTATTCATGGTACCATATCGCCACTCCCTATTGTTCCATGAAAAGCAGTAAGCTGGTAAGAGTAATGAAACCCCCGTGGATTATGTTCAGTGTATATAGGGAAGAAAAATCAATCCCAACCCTCATGCCCCATGTCCCACGCGAGCCCAGGCACATCGTACATATGCTAGAAATCGCACCAAGATTCCAAGGCCTTGTGGCACGAGTGCAGATATGTCCCACAGAATTGTTGCATCTAACTCTAACCGAGTTATAGTTCCGAGGCGGATCACCTCTAACTCTAATCGCTGTCATAGGTAATTGCAGACGCCCTTGTGCAGAAAGAACGTGGCCAGACGGGATTGGCTACAGCAGCATTAGATACTCTCTTGGAGTCTATACCGGAAAGCGCTGTGCAGCATCCAAGGATGGAGCAACTGATCCCAGACGTTCGTGATGTGAGACAGGAGCTGGCCAAAGCGAAGGTGAGTCTTTTCATCCTATCGGACACTACCAAACGCGAGGCAATCTATGTAGCCCACGCTTTCCTTATGTCCACAGAAAATTTTACATCAATATGCATCGGCATCGTATTTACGTAATTTTCCCATAGCTATGGAGTCAGTGCGGACAGCTGTCAGAGATAAAGTTGATCTAGCAACGCAAGGACCAATGGCAAGTCCTGGACAACGACAAGGGCCTGTTATTAACTCCTGTATTTTGCAATAGGGCGGACAATACAATGGACAATATTTATAGGCATATGCCTGCCATGCATTTCACAAGAAACACTGCAATGCCTTCATACACATTCTTCAATATCAGAAAACATTATGTTTGCGATGCCAAGTACGATGCCAATTTGACACAAAATGGCGCCATCACAGCGACTGCGATGCCACAAAGTAGGTGCGATGGCATCAATTAGTGCCAAATAGCATCGCAGTCGGCAACGCACAAATGTCGGTTTCTACTGGCGTTTGGTACCAGCGTATTCACGGTGCCGCTTCTCGAATAAGAACAAAATTTATGCTGAAGAACTTCATCTGGTATCATAAAGATTCCTTCCGCATCTCAGGCGCAAATACCAGCAACGGACCTGACCTGGAGGCTCCGACAGGAGCACCGCTCCAGCGAAACCCCTTTGTGGCAGCTGGTCATTCTGCCGAAGACACGATGTTTCCCTGCTCAGATATTTGCATGCTGGGCGGGTGGTAGCAGCAGTGCATCATACTCGGTACTGAGCGTCTTGATAGCACGTACATCTAACGAAGTTATACTGCTCCAATTAGAATGTCAGGAACGATGCTTCTGTATTGACTTCGGACCTGAGGCACCTGGGTAGCGACGGAGACGGTTCTTGGGAAAGAGCACTGACGATCATCGATGAACGCTTGATGGTATCGAGAGGCAGCAATTGGCGAATGGCGCCAATTGGAGTATTGCAGGCCAGAGCCCCTGATACGCTTTGGTGTCCAAGTCAAGGCACCCTGCGATAGCTCTTGCAGACGGCGCCGCGGCCTTTGTTCCGATGTGTTCGGCACTGTGAAGTACAGAAGCATGCTTTTGCATGTGCCACGGAAGTCGACACAGAGATTGACTGTAAGCAGAACCATGGTTTTGGGCACCTGAATTTATGCTAGGGGTCACGCGCTAGGTCCCAAATGTACGGCAAGCAACATGAAGTCGCCTTAGTATTTGGCTACACAGGTAATGGATTCAGAGTCTTGAACTTCGGATGACCTTCAACGTCGCGAGACTTTGAATGTAGTGTATAGCCGCTGTTGTTCAGTGTAGCATCCACCAGCTTGATCTCCAGGCGGTAGCATCACGCACTTTCAGTCTTCTTCTGGTCCCCCGCCTAAGATAGCCACTTCAAGCCTTGGCGCTTGCCGAAAACACCCATTTCACCCAAGAGTTGTCAGCATTTGAACCGTGGTAAGCTGCTAAGATGCGAACAATTGTGCGTTATTGACCCTGTTTTAGGGCAAGTCATCACCAGCATAGCACTGACCTGATTGCCTGAATGAACCACCACTTTGTCGGGCGCATTCGTGATTGAAATTCCCTTCTGTTTTGTTCTTCTCCAGCCGTTGCCCACGATCAGGGCAAAGGAATTGAGGGCAAGTGTAAGGAGTCTTGGCGAACAGCGGAGCGTCAATGATAATGACGCGTTGAGAATGGCAAGGACTTACACCACCCGTGCGGAAAGGAGCTTCTCTGTGGGTTCTGTTGAATATAGATCCCTTCCCAACCAGCATGAAAGATCATTGTATGGAGTCACAGGTGCGGAAGATGTCACAGCTCGATCGTCGACAAGGGTGCACGGATGCATGGGTGGAGTTTGGCAACCGGCACCAACTGCGGCGCGTGACGTTAGCGATGGCGTGTCTGGATTGGAGATGAATAATGACAGGCCTGCGCTCTCAGAAAAAACTGGAAAGCCAGATGAAGCCGAACTTCTTCGCAGACTCCTTTTGTTCCATTGGGACGAGTAGCAAACCCCTCTGACAACTGTACAATCTATGGGAATAACCATGGCAGACACTGCACTTTGCAGGGGTTGTTGGGTGCAGGAACATTAATCTATTGCTTGTCACTTCGCCCACTCGAATTGGACTGATGGTGGACGCGACAGTGCTTGAAGTTCTATTGACGGCCACGGGAGCCCGACTAGTTGCTGAGATTGGGATGTTGGGTGTCGTCCTGCAGCTCATAGCAATCCACCTGATCTTCCACAATTGTATCGCTCAGGAGAAAAAGCGTATCAATGGGGAGTTCTATAAGACGCTGTGATATGCAGTGTCTGGTCAACGGTGCAATTCGGTATGCGTGGTCAGGCGGAGACGCATCCCAAGGAGTGGCTGCTACACACATTATGTGTAGCCACCACTCCTTGGGATGTGTCTCAGCCCGAGCACGCGTACCAGATTATGTTGTATCGCCGCTGTGCGAGATCCTTAGCGACCAATGCGCGTGTTCAATTTCCCTGCCGTCAGACAGTGAGTTTCTATGGCAGCCACACAAGCTGATGCGAACATTTTCAGTTTGCTGACTTGTAAATTCATCCTGTATGCACAAAATCCCCGATGGTCATATTGGGCAAGACGTCGTGGTTGCGACTGTCAAGAGACCCAAGGTTACCTTCCATCCCATGTGTCTTTTCAACTAGGGACACGTGTGTACCTCTGGCGGACCACCTATAGGCCTGCTGCGTAGCCCTGCACTGTCGTCACTGGCAGTTGCTCCCATACAAGACCATAGTCCAACGCCAGGATACCAGTTGACCAACTTTGCAAGGGCACCTGCACGGTGACAAGCACACGGACCCATTTTGATCCCTGAGTGCCCTAACAAGGTAATTACGCTGTGCACCCTGGCTTCTCACTCCAAAGCAATGCGGAAGATGCCAAGAAGCCTGTTTCACCATGGAGCATGCATGAACCATACTATGGACGGGCTGTGGTTCTTTTGAGCTGCGACTACTGGCGTTCATGGCTAGTCGTCACCTTCAAAACCGACGTTCCAGTGTGATATCAAACACGTCCAGCAGCGGTCTTCTGCGTCACTCTGCAAGGCCGCTTAGTCAGTCTTCCCTCTTGCACAGGGGGGGTCCCCACAAGTGGAGACTGGGCAGGCAAGGGCTGCAGTGTTGGGAAGAGTATGGTGATATTGATTCCAAAGAATGCTGCGGAATTAACTGCTTCTACCTATCTTTCACCTGCGATGGTGTTTCCTGTACACGTTAGATGAATTCCGTCTATTCACTTAATTTTACTCCATGTGTTTGCATTCACAAACCGCACCCTGAAACCAAATGGCATGGCTGTGAAGCGAAGGCTGAACGCACAAAGTGAAGAGAGTAATGAGGAGGTTGTAGTAAGCCTGCATCTGCAGTCTGCGGTTTTGAGTAGGTTCCCTCAATTGATTGCCAACATGGTGATGATCTTGGCAGCCAGATCCACTGAGGGACTGGCACCGTTTCTGCACACTATCATTGAACCTGCGCATTTCCTTGCCCTCCGTCAAAACGAGAGAAGTAGTCATGCTGCAGACCAGGTGGCATTTGTGCATCTTGCCTTGGTTTAAGATGCATCGGTCTGCTGCCTGTTGCCCAACAGCCCAGCAGCTGTGCAGCATGTGATCCAAGGCCTCTGCACTAAGAAACATGTTTCAAACTCTTCCCAGAGACTGTCGATGTTGGCATCAGCAAACATCCAACCGACAAACTGCACCAGCCTTGCCAGGTCGTCGTGGCCATCCAGTTCTGCAGCTCTCTGCGAACCCCAAAGTAGCTATGTTGCAGCTACGCCGTTTTCCCCCCAACATCAGACTGCATAAAACCATCCTTTCCCCCAGGGGTGCTGTCCGTTCGCCACCACGGCGGCCCTGCATCAAAAACGCGAGGCGCGCCGTACACATCCTCCCAATCCGCGTCCAAGAACTCCAACCTAAACGCCTGGAGCCCAATCCGGTCGCACCGGGCCTCCTCCGGTCCAATCTTCTCTCTACCCTCCCTGCTTGGGCCCGCCTCCCCCTCCCGCCCCACCCCCTGGTACCCGTATTTCTTCGCGACCGCCGCGTACAGCGTGTCCCCCACAATTGGGCACCCCGCCGCCGCGAGCTGGGCCCGTATCTGATGCGTCTTCCCCGTCTTCAGCGCGATCATCGACTCGAACGCCCTCCCGCTGACAACCCCCGCATCCCCCAACGCCACTTCCCGTACGCTGAGAACCTCCAGCTCGCAGCGCGCCGCCCTGGGGTTGGCGGGGTCGCACGCCACGGTGTGCGCCGGCTCCCCCTCCTCCCTCCTCCCCACCTCTAGAGAATGCACCATCGTCCCAACCTCAGGCGCAGCCGCGGACAGCGCCCTGTAGCACTTCCGCACGCGCGCCCTGTCGCGCATCACGCCGCACAGGTGCCGCGCCGTGGCCTCACTGCGGGCCATGACAACAAGGCCCTCCGTGCCCAAGTCCAGCCTGTGCACCGGCAGCAATCCCCCCTCCTCCAATGCCAGCCTGCCGGCCGCCCAATACATCAGGCACTCAAGGCGATTATCCACACGCGGCACCACCTGCACCCCCGCCGGCTTGTTCGCCACAATGAACCCATCGCCGTTGTGCAACAGCCGGCCAGTCCAGTCCGCACCATGGAAAGCTGGGAACCGCTGGGGGTGCACGTGCACCCTCAGGTAGGCCCCGGGGTCCAGCAGTCGATCGGCGAGCAGCCTGCGCGGGTGCTGCAGGGCGGGGGATCTGCCGTGGCGCGCCATGGCCATGGATCGGCACTCTGAGGCGGTTTCTAGGGAGGCGGGCGTCCTGGCGCGGGCGGGTGGGATGGGGTGGACGGGGCACCAGTACACGGCGCCGAAGCGCATCAGCTCGGCCACGAACCAGCCGGGGAGGTCCAGGGAGGCGGAGATGAAGTCGCGGGCCGCCGTGGTTTCCCTCACAGCCAGGTGCTCCACCCGCGGCTCCAATCTCAGGCCGGCGCCCGGCGGCACATTGATCGTCAGGAGGGTCAGATCGAGGTCGGTGTGTTGCAGCGGGTGCACCTCGTGGGGCGCGGGGAGAGATGCCATTGCTGCAGGCTTTGGGGGGCGGACGGTGGCGAGGGTTCTGGCGCTGCGTTCCTGCGCTTGGAGCTGCGAAGGCAAGCACCGCAGCCTTTGCAAGGCCATCAAGAAAACCGACACCGTGAGACACCGCACCTCTGCATTCAAACGTTCCAGCCTGCCACTCGATTGCGCAGCCTCACGCCGCCTCTCTCGGGGCGCCCGTGTCGATAGCCACCGGCAGTCGCGCCCGTCGTGCACAACCGAGAGCGCCGAGTTGTTCCCGCCGCGCCCACTGCACAGGTTGGTGCGATGGGCTCCAGTACTTTCACGCCCAGACCCGTCCGGTTGATCAGTAAACGGGGGGGGGGGAATTGGTCCAAAAAGCAAAATCGCGGCACAAAACTGCGGTGCAAAATCGAGGCGTCCGGTTTCTTGGCCAGGCCATACGCCTCCACATCCTCCCCAGCCGCCCAAGTATCTTCCTTCCCGTGAGGTCTCCACCAGTGACGGCGACCGCGCCCAGCAAGCGCAAATCACCGGGACCGGTCGCAGGCAGGCGCGAATCGGTTCGCGCCGCCAAGAGCCGCGACGAGCCATGCGAGGCGTGGGCGAGGGCGGGGGTTGCCCATCCCGCGGCACTGACTTGGTCCGGCTGAAGTCGCACTCCCTGGCGGGTCCACGGGGTAAGGGCGGCACGCCCTCCCCTCCCCGCCTCTGCCGACTCTCGAGATGCGCTCCAGCTCCGATTCATGAACGACTCTTCGCTGCCTCGCAGAGGTTCAGCCGTCATCGCCGGCAAAGGTTGCTCGCGCGGCCTGTCGGGCAGGTCGGTGTGGCGGAGGGATTGGCCTGGGGGGTGCCGGGAGATCCGCGAATTCCGATGGCGGGGTCCCCCAAAGGGCTAGGCAGGCGTGCCAGGTGCGGTCCCTCCTGACGCCTGTTGCCTCTGAGATGGCGGCGTTCATTCATGGCCGCGCGTCAATGGATGGGCGGGATTGGTGACCCGGGGTTGATTTGGCGGCAGGCGCTCGTGGCGACGTCCCTGCCGCCCGCGTGGGGCATATCGCGCGAGGAGCCGACGGTGAGTGCCCCATCGTTGCTAGCGTCGCCCAGGCGCCGCTTCGCCCGCATTTGGCGCAAATCTGCGGCGCCCATTCCAGGCGGGCTGCGGCATCTGTGACCGCGCGGCTCGGGGCCCGATCACGAAAGCATGGACAGCGTGCCCCGCGTCCAGAGCTTCGCGGAGGGCGGCTGCATTCCGCTCCGTTCCGCCTGGCTCGTCATTGCCCCCCCAATCGGCGCGCATGGCGAGCAAGTTGCGGGTCTCACAATCTTGACTTCGGTCTCTCCTTAACCGAGGGCGCCCGCGCCCTCCCGCTGCCCGCCCCAACTGACCACGGCCCCAAATCGCGCCCCCTCGCAGTGGTACGAGGGGCTGTCGAAGGATGATGTCACCATCCCCTTCCTGTGGGGCCTGCTGGCGCCCAAGGTGAGGTACCTGCCCGCGGGCGACCGCCGTCGCCTGCAGGTCGCCCTGGCCGTGGCTTTCGCCGCCCACGACGGCCAGAAGCGCAAGTCCGGCGAACCATTTGTCACCCACCCCGTGGAGGTCACGCGCATCCTTGCGGGGCTCCAGCTGGACGTGGCCACGCTGACCGCCGGCCTGCTGCACGACACCGTGGAGGACACCGACGCGCTGACGTTCGAAGACATTGAGCGGCGTTTCGGATCGGACGTTCGGCGCATAGTGGAGGGGGAGACGCGGATAAGCAAGGCGCCAGGAGGCGCCACGGGGCGGAAGTGGGCGCCAGGGGAGGAGGACCCCATTGAGGCGATCGACTTCCGGCACTTCTTCCTGTCGATGACGGAGGACGTGAGGATCATACTGGTGAAGCTGGCGGACAGGCTGCACAACATGCGGACCATGGGGAGCATGGACGAGGAGAAGCAGAAGAAGAAGGCACAGGAGACGCTGTTTGTGTTCTCGCCGCTGGCAGACTCGCTGGGGCTGGTGGCCATGAAGGAGGAGCTGGAGGAGCTGTCGATCAAGATCCTGGACCCGGAGCGCTCGCAGGAGCTGGCCTCCAGAATGGAGGCCACCGTCAACGAGCAAAGGTCTGCGGGGCTGTATTGGGCTTTGAGCACCGCCCTTTCATCACTTAGCAGGGCTCTGCCATTGAAATTTGCAGTCTATGAGTAGGTCTCACAGACACAAGCAATGCATTTGGACCTGTAAGGCGCATCAGGGATCTGCAGCGGAACTTTGCTGTGAGTGCATAAGTCGCAGGGCGCCCAGGTACCTAATATGAGCAGAGGGCTGTGGCTGGAACGTGCTCTGATTGAATGTGTCCAAAAACCAACATGCTGCCCTTGTGGTGGCTGGTCAAAGATAGGCATGTTTGACTTTCATGTTGTTTGTTCAGGTCTGCAGTGCAGATGGCACAAAATGTGCTGTTAGACCATCTGAACGGGGACGACTTCCTCAACAACCAGGCACGATTGCATCATCGCATCATTGGTCCATAGCCCAAGTCTTCAGGCACTTCTGTGTGATGAAAGAACAATAGGATTGACAGCACAGGCTGTGCACCCTCCAGCGCTCTCACCACTAGATTGTGTTCGATATGGGCAAGTGAAATGCCCGCTGTGTTTTGCCTTGTCTCTTCTGTCCACCACTGGATCACCCTTCCCCAACCTACACTGAGTGTCAAACCCCTGTCATTGCATCCCTGGCCCTTCCGGGCGCCTTTTGTTTGCCTGTCAGTCCTTTTGTATTGTCTGGCAGCACGACGTCAGAGCATTGGCCATGCATATGCAAGCCGATGACAACCATGAGCCTGTGCACTAGATATGTTTTCTACATATTCTGCAAAACTACATACTAAATTTGCCAAAAAACCACCAATCTCCAAAATGAGATTCCTTTTGTCAACTGCTCAGTTTCAATTCCTACCTTGATGTCAGGTGTCTGCAGTGAATGTGGTCCTTAGCTGGAAACCCATGTATGGCTTGTACAAGCGTATGAAGTCGTCCAGCTGGGATTGGGAAAACAGCCAGCTTCTGAAGCAGATCGCACAGTTCCAGCTGGTGCTACATGTGCGTGAGGAGTGCAGTGTGGGCCCCGTGGGCCTGTGCTACTACGTGCTGGGCCTTGTGCACAAGCTGTGGACGCCTATCCCTCAGACCATGAAGGACTACATCGCCTCGCCCAAGGCAGGCTGGCGCAAGGGCCTGCACACAACCTTGTGGCCAGTGGGCTCTCGCCTTGTGACCCCCATTGAAGTGCACATCCAGACGGTGGACATGTACCAGGCTGACTTCAGTGACATGAGCTCCCGGCTGAACATGTGGCTGAAAAATGGCAAGGCAGATGAGCTGGGGGCTCTCAACGGACTTGGAAATCTGGGCTCATCCATCGATGGGCTGGCTGGTTTGAATGGCCTGAGCATGGAGGCACCGTTGAATGGCAATGGGAATGGGAATGGCAACGGGGCAGCACTGACGTCAGAGGTGCGAGGCATAATATGCTTGATTGCTTTTGCCAAAAGATAACAAAGCAAAGAAATCAACAGGTAGAAAACCTATGGTACCATGAACGCCGACTGTTTGATGACTTCTATTGCATTGTCCGCATGTAGAAACCTTTTGAACCAACAGATCCCAACAATGACAAAACCTCACATGAGTCGGCCATGTGGCAGTCGATTTATCCCTAGCGCCATGGACTGACTGATGCCATTTTGGAACCTGTTGGAGTTGATAGGCATTGATTCATTGAAATCCCTTTAGGAGGCTATTTGTTATTATTGGGATTATTGGTGTTCATCAGAGTACTTACATTTGTGCCCCCTGTGTGAATGTTGATGTTGCAAACAGGCGACTTCTTACTCAAAGATTGCTCAGAATCCTGAAACGCCAGAAATGGAAGAAGTCACACCTAAAACACCCGCAGTGCAACAGTGTCCAAAATTAATTGGCCCTGTCCTATCTGGGATCCCCCCCAAAATGTGTGAAGAGCCACTCCCTTCGCATCCAAATCGACCCAGTCATGACTACCATCCTATCACCATGATCAAGGCTGCAATGAGTTTCCCTTTCCCTATTCGTGCGAAACTGGAGTCATGCACATGGGAGAGTGTGCCCAGTGTCGTTGCTTGGATTGCACCAATGGAAAGGCAGCCACAATTTTGCATCAGCACCTGCCCTAATTCCAGATGTGAAAGACCTACCCAAACGCCATGAAACCTGGCAAGCTCGACAATGGGACGTTTGGATGGGCAGTTGGAGGCCCCGAATGTCTGAATGGTGGGTGCTCATGCTTGTTTTGTGCATGACGTGAGAAATCGCTGTTGGCAGTGTCTTTAAAGGGTGTCAATATGATGGTTTCCAACACTGCTGTTTCTGGTGATCTTTTTGTCCCTGCGCATGGGGTTGACCATCGCCTTTGCCCAACATCCTCAAGGCGGTCTCAGGGCCTCCGGCCACTCCTTCCACGGTGGCAGGGCACTTTGAAAATCCGCTGATCGTGAATTTGGCCGTGTTCAGCTATGCCCATCCACAGGATTGACGATCAAGTGGTGCAAAAGCCATTTCCACTGTTTTCATAGGGCCTTTTCACAAGGACAGCTCTGATGTTAGCCAGAATGGTGACTGGAGATATTCACTTTTCATTGCGCACTGTCCAGCCCAAAGCGACATGGCCTGGGTGACATTATTGCAGGCATGCCTTGACTTTTCTGGGAGAAGTGGCCAAGGTGGCCTTATTTGAATTATTCTCACGTGGGCATCGTTTGCTCAATATCTATTGAAATTGGATAATGTGCACCAAACTCACGAGGGTTGGTTTGTAAATTTTGGGACGGGCACAGGCTTGTGCTACTTGCAAATCATGGTGCTTAAATTTATGAATCCCATTCTTTCGAAATAGATGAAGTGTATTTTTCTTTTGTGCTTCTTTCTGTCCCACAGCAATTGTCTCTTATGAGATCACATCCTTGTTTGTGTTGATGCCTCATCAAGCATTGATGCAAATTATTTCACATTCATGGCAATGAGTGTAGAGAATGACGTCCAACTTAGATCACAGTTCAAAGTAACGAAGAACTGACAGGGGGTCGAATCCGGACGACCCCGTTCCAAAGTTGGTCAGAATTCATTTGTCTCCCAAAATCGCCGTTGTGAAGGGGGTTCTCTTCCAGCCAGTGCCCCAGGGCTGTGCTTCAAGAATTCACAACACTAGTGTGTCCAAAGATTGGTATACACATCCTAAGCAGTCGATGGTGGTCGAATTGGGCTCTGAATGCCTGATTACTGATTGTCATCTGATTGTCTAACTTTGTTCCAAATGAGAGCCGTCTGGCTTGCATAGAATGGAGCTAGGGAGAGGATTTGTTTGGTCATCGCCATTGCCGATTTCAGCTCCCACTGTTTCCAAATCTGATGCCTCTTTGAACATATGTGCCCATCTGTGTAAAGACATGGCGATCCCAACCAGGGAAATTTTGTTGTGGGTCAGAGGGAGAAAGTTGTGAATGTGAAACAGCTCTAGCACCATCATATCCATGGTTAGCAAATGTAATGTAAAGCCCCTTGAACCACAGCAGTCTAATGACCTGGCCAAATCTGGAGCTGATAGGCATTGGACCATCAATATTGTCTGCTCTAGAGTTTCTCTTCGCGTACCTGCACAGGTGCAGGAGGTGCTGCGTCAGAGCTCATTGGTGATCAAAGAGGACAGCTTCACAAAGTACAAGACATGGCTGCAGTCCCTGAAGGCTTGGCAGGATGAGGTGGGGGGAAAGATGTCAGCACGGGACTTTGTGGAGTGCGTGACAGAAGACTTCTTGGTGCAGAGCGTGTATGTGTTGACGCCTGCTGGAGAAGTGGTCCAGCTGCCTAAGGTGTGTGTGCGTGTGTGTGCCCGTCTTTGCGCCCGCAGGCGCCATGTTGAGAAGTGCTTGAGTGGACAGAGTTGTGCAGTTGTGGCAACTTGACCTCATTGTGCCACTGTGTGCAACTCTGTTTGGGGTACTGTAGTATGCAGGTGGCCAACCATCGCACCTTGAAGGTGGCGATGGGCACTTTGCAATGGCAGCATGTGTTCCCATACCTGCAGGCCTGTTCATGTGTGCGAAAGTGCGAGGCTAGAGCTGGGCAGGGCTGAAGTGTCGATGGGAACTTGACAGCTTGCTGGTGCAGCAGTATGCGCATGTGTGTGTACAGCTGTGCATTTAGGTGTCAGATGTTGTTTGCTTTCAGAAGATTCTGCATCTGTCATGATATGGCAGAGTTCGTAGACACTGGTTTCACATTTGTCACCATTTCAAGGGCCACTGCACTTGCACATTTCGAGCCAGTGGCAGGCACAGCCTGCAATGCATCTGCTCAGAGTGGGTGCCTACTGTGCGTACTATTGCTTCCTTCTACAAAAATAGTTGCACTGACATGTGCCTGTGTCCAGGGTGCGACTGTGCTAGATTTTGCCTACCACGTACACACCGATGTTGGCAATCGGGCGATGGCAGCAAAGGTCGATGGCATCTTTGTCAACCCTGACCACCAGCTGAAGAATGCCCAGGTGGTTGAGATTTTCACACTGGACAGTTGGCAACCCGACGCAGCACTGCTGTCTGTACTCAGGTCGAGGGTGCCAATGTTGCAGACGAAAAGCGCCAAGAAGAAGCTGAAGTTGTTCCTGAAGAAATATGAAGCCGAACTACAGGACACTGGTGAGGATCATGTGTGTGAGTCGACACTGAAAGGGCTCGTCGCTGGATGACAGACAAGTCGCTGCCCTCGCACGCACAGGGGAATTGATGGTGCTGTCCGCATCCCATAGTGTTTCAAAGCGAACGTCTCTCTTTGTAGTTTTCTCTATGGAAAGGAAAGGGTAATGCAGTGACCGTCCATGCCCCTGCAAGGCTCTGTCAAGCCGGCTTTCTGGCTTTCTGAGCCAGTTTGTTGCAGAAGACCCATTATGGCTAATGATCTGAAGTCAGTGGAGACACCCACCATGGCTAGACACATGCATGTGGCAGAAGCTTGTGGTGTAGAATAGCATGGAGGCAGGAACTGCGTGAGCTGGCTGTGCACTGGCCATGTCTGCCAGCATCTTGGCACACATTCCAGATGCTGGAAACAGGCCACAAGACATGGTCTTTCATGGTCATTCAAAATGATTCTGAAGGCATCTCCACCAGTTCTGTGCGAGTCAGTCACTGCGGTTTCTCTTGATCATCACAGCATTCACCACAGGGACATATATGGTGTGCGCCTATGTATGGGCATCTGTTTTGCATTGGGCACTACTGGTGGCATTGTGTTGCACTACTCGATTTGAGCATTTACCAAAAACTGTCCCTTGTCATGCAAGCAACGGTAACTCCAGCGAGTGTGTGACACTTGGCATTACACAAGGTTATGCCTGTGCGTGACACGATTATCAACAGGCACAAGGCATCAAACAGTCTGTGTACACCACGATACCAGATGTACCCATGGGCACCCATGAACGGAGTGTACACACGGCACATGTGTCTGTCAATTCAACAGTGCTCCGGTGTCTGTGTTTCATGCATACTTGTTGGATTCCACTCTTCTGCGCATGACAGTCACAGCAGGTGCTTCAGGGTGGTGTCCACACACCAGATCAGCATGCTCACCTCGTGCTCACACCCTTTCTGTTGTGTTTTGTCAAAGATGCTGAGGACAGCAGTTCTGTGGATGATGCTGCAAAGCGGAGCACCCTGTGGCTTGTGCTGGAGTGTCAGGACAAGCCTGGCATGTTGGCTGCAGTTTCGGCCGTGATCGCAAAGCATGGACTGAATGTCACGGTGCGGATGACCTGGTCCAAAAGGCTAGACCCTTTTTTCTCCAGGGGCATGTGCTTGGATGTTTCAGCTGCCCTCTTACATTGTGCAAGTGGGTGGTGTATGGATGTATGATCTTGGCAAGTTGAGTGCCATCTTTTGGAGCTTTTGGCACCTGTAAATGCACGGAATGTGCATTTTTTTTTGTTTGTCATGGCTGTTTTGACAAATGCTGTCCATGGAATGTCACATGTTTATTGAGTGTGGGCTGATATGTCTCCTGCTGAGGACACTAACTGGTGCTATTTCATTAATTTACAGCTGTTGTTGCGCTCAGAAATTTTGGGGCTTTCCAAGTCGGCAAGACAAGGGCGTCTATGTGATGCGCTACAACCTTGGCAAACCAGACCAAGATGTACAGGCACTGTACACTGCCTTTGAGGATGATCCAAGTGTCAGTGACTGGGCAGCTGGCTGCACGCTACCAGCACCAGACAAGAAGAAGAGCAGTTGGTGAAGTCACAAGATAACAATTGTGTTGTGTGTATTAACGTTTTGATTTCAGTCTGATTCTCCAGCATACCATCACCACATGGGGACTTCAGAGTCATGAGAAGCAGAGGTAGAGGTGGCTGTCTTGTGGTCTCTGATCTGTGGCGTTACAAACATATTGGCTTTCAGGGAACCAAAACTGCAGGATAGAGACAGGCAAGGGTGTTATGCAGTTGAGGACTGCTATCGATCTTGGAGCCAGTTTTCTATGGGCATCCAGAAGCTTGTTGGATTTGCCGTGATAAACTTTGTTCTCACATCTGACAACAGCGGTGATGTGATGCTGCTCTGCAATGTTTTTCTTCTGCGTATTGCTAGGGACGCAGAAAGAGCCAGTTTTGTGACTGCCCTCAGCTGAGATTGCTTAGTACACTCGATGTTGTTGTGTTTCCTGGGGAAAGAAAACTGATAGATATTTAGTAGTTGTGTTTGATCTGCTCCACAGCATCGTGTATTTTGGCGATTGTAGAGCACGATGGGTGTGGTGTTTGCCAGATGAGCTGACACATGTGTTGTTATTGTTTTTGTGGACAACTGAAATGATGGTTAGAGGCCAACGTGCTTCACATGATATGATGTCATGGTTTGCCTTTTCGGGTGTGTGCACTCTCGCAAACCCTTTGATGCTGTAAGAGTGCAGCAACGTGTGCACACTCAGAGGTACTTTCAAATTGAACGCAGTTCTCAAGAGGCCTATCAACAATGAATGGGGTGATTGCCCCTTTGTTGCAACGGGGCTTCAGCAAAGCCGTGGGGACCATGGCAGGGAAGCTTAGATTCTGTGGTGCGCAAGTGCATCGAGGTACTGTAAGCAGGTGCACACCATCCCTGGAGTACTTGTATATGTTGTGTGGTGAGGCTGCTGGAGTGTGTCATGGAGAAGTTTTGACATAGTCGATTTTGACGCAAGAGAGGGCAACTGCGCTGCAAGGAAGTAGCTGCCTATAACAATAGTGCTCTAGTACCATTGGTCATTCTCTGCTGATTCTACAGCTCGGTATTTTTCAGGCCGGTGTATTTTTCTAGGCATATCAGTAAACGTATGGAGCCCAATCGATCTGAACAAAGCGTGATTTGGCCGACTACCATGGGATTCAGTGTTCTCTAGCCATGTATGGTGTTGCCTCGAGGTCCCAACCTCGCAATGCAGTCCGTGGTGGCCAGGCGCAGCCAGACACCATTTGGAATTGAGGAATCCACACCTAGGATTTCGTGACCCTTGAACTTTTAGAATCATTGTTGATGAAGCAACAGGAAAGGCTTCCCTTGCCGCCCATAAATGTTGCTGATCGTGTGACAAACGACGTTGCCATGACGTGATCCACTGAGATTAGTATTTTGAGCTAAGCAGGTACACAAGAGCTCTAAAAGATATAGCTAACAGCTACCCGTTTCCCTGGGTAAGGCACTGGTGTTGGGAGTACTCCAACATCAAAGGGAACTGACGCTTCTAGTTCGTAACTGAATGGTTGGTTATTGACTGGCCAGAGCTCTAATAAGGCCGTAGGATGTCATACTTCCAGCTTGACAGGATCATCTCCTTGCACACTGGCCGAAGCAAGTAGGGCTTTGGTGCCCATCACCATCCTTTCCAAACAAACGTCCATGGAAGCATCGTAGCTTGCTTCATGCCTTGCGACAGGCGTTAAAGCAGTACAAACCCAATACTTGATACTCCACATTATTCAGTTTCAAATCCAACATGTTAAGGGCTGGGCAGTTGGGAGCGAAACAAGATACCATACAAGATACAACGAGATACAACGACAAGATGCTACAGCAGCCGGCAGTCTTTGCACCTGAAAAAGGTGGGAGGCTGCCTTCGACCTGGTAACCCGGGCCGAGTGTACCCGGTTGAAACCAAGCCTTGGCACTCCGATGCTCTGGTAGTGTGCCCATAGCTCCCATGGAGCACGCCCATATGCAGTGTGTGGACCACCGGGTCCAGATGTGCCAAGGGCCCGGCTGATTCTGCCGCTGGTATCCCACGAATGGTAGATGCTTTAGCGACAGTGGGCTCTCTTACTGCAAAACGGTGCCGAAAAACCCTATTGAAACGACTAAGGAGGACAGGTTTCGGCGTTGCCCTATGAAACAATTTCACTGCTCGAGGAAAAATCAGAGCAACTGGCAGAAAAATGCAACGTCAGCACTTCCGTGCGCGTGGCACAGATATAAGCGGGTGCCATCCCCACAGAACAGCAATCTCGCAACCGCTGTGTGGCACCGATCGCAGCCTCCCGCCCGCCTCTCCCGCCCGCGCACGCCTCTCTAGGTACGGTCCCCGGTGGCGCCCACCTCCCTTCCCCTCACGCCCAGTTCACCGCAGCGCTGCGCGCCGTTCCCCGCGCCTACCGGCAATGCTTCAGCAAATGTTTCGCCGTCGGGCGTCGGAAAAAACGCTCCGACCCATAGAAGGGTCAATCGCTGTCTGTTGCCGATTCACGCCCTGGAGCGGCTTGCTCTGCTGGAATGTGTTAGTTGGATCGTTGGGCCGACGATTGGCCGCTTGCCTTGCTCTATCCCTTGTGCGGTTTTGCTGACGGGCTGAGGCGCTAGGGGTGCCAGCTGCCTGGGCGGGCGGCTGTGCTGAGATCATACCCTCAACACCGGATCCGGACAATGCCGGCGACGGGAAGCGCATCGTGTGTGGCCGCAGGGACGAAGGCTGGGCTGCGGGCGGAGTGCCGCAGGGCCGCTGCGGAGATGGTGGGGGGCGAAACGTAGCGGGAGATCTAGACGGCCCCTCATGCCGACGGAGGCCCGCCCGGCACGGGGAAGGCAGCTGCCAGAAACTCTCGGCGGGGTCGGGCGTAATTTTGAGAGACGGATTGGGGCAGGGAATATTGGGAGGGGGTCGTTTGGAGGGGGATTTTGGGTTGTCGTGCCTGCCCACAGTGACGATCTAATGGCCTAGGCGCTGATGTTGCCGAACGGCGCGGGCTGTTTCGGCTGTCGCATCGACCTGGCTTTCGGGGCTTCGTCGCGTTTCCATGGTGGATGCGTTTGGCACGGATCTTGGCGCAATCTTGACGCGCGTTTCTATTTCTGCCGACAGGATGGCCCCCCTGGTGTCCCTCCCCATTTCCACTGGCCTGCCTGTCCGCCATGCGGCCGCAGCCCCGCGCCGCGCGCTGTGCGTGGCGCCGCGCATGGCCTTCAGGGATGACAAGCCGATGGGCGAGGGCAAGAGCAACGGTTACGCCAAGCTGCCCAAGGACGTCGAGTTCTCGCCCATTCGGGAATCTCAGGTAGATCCCGATCGACCTGGTGTTTGATCACCCACCTCCGCCCGGGCAGGACCATGGTGTTGCGTCATCTTCTTGCACAGGGAAAGAGTCCTGCAGGGTTTTGGGTGCCCACTGGTATGGGGCAGTTTTCGGCGCTGTTTCGAACTGCGAAGGCGAGTGTGATCAAAACAAACTACGGTATCAAATTACCACGCCCTTTTACCGCTCGTGTGGCGCAAATGGTGGCGCAGCGAGTTGGTAGCTTGGTTGTGTCCAAATACTGATCTCTTGGGTGCGGTTGCAGGTCAGTCGCGCCATGACCTCCAGGTACTTCAGTGACCTGGACGAGTTCGCTGAATGCGACGTCGTGATAACTGGCGCGGGTCCTGCCGGCCTCGCCTGCGCCTATGAGCTGACGAAACGCCCCGACATCAAGGTGAGCCATGGAGTCGTTGCACGGGGCTGGCACAACCACGCATGGCCAAAACGCACATTCTCTCGTCATAGGGGCGTGCTGATTTGTCTCATCAGAGGAGTGGCCATTGTAATATCCTGGAGCCAAGTTCAGCTGTGCTGCGATATCTCAATTGGCAACACATGTCTTGAGCTGTCTAGAAGTGTCCTCAGCCCCTCCTTCCTGGCGTACATGTTTGTCGATTATGCCAGATTGTGCAAAGCTCAGAACCATCAGGTGGCACTTTGCAACCCGTGGTCCTTATCTGGTGGGACTCATATCTGCCAGCGGGTGTTTCGAAGGTGCAGTAATAAGAACCTCATAGACCTATTGATCAGCTTCCATGCTGAACGACAATGGGCGTGTCAGCGACTTTAATGCTGCCCTGCCTCTAGGTGGCGCTTATCGAGCAGAATGTTGCCCCTGGCGGTGGAGCCTGGCTGGGCGGGCAGCTCTTTTCTGCGATGGTTGTCCGCAAGCCCGCTCACCAGTTCCTGGACGAGCTGGAGATCCCCTACGAAGATGAGGGCAACTATGTGGTTGTGAAGCATGCTGCCCTGGCCACTTCAACCCTGCTGTCCAAAGTTCTCCAGGTGATCTGCCACGCCTCCACACTCTGAGCACTGTTCCTTACTGAGAACTTGCCACACAATGTAGGCAGAGGTAGCAGTTGCCATGCTGTTGTCTGTACCATGGATTTGTTTTGGTAGGCACATTGCATTCATAGAATGCTGGGTAACGATATGGCATTGGGAATGCCCAGCAATTTTGGTGAGCATGTATTAGCTGGAGTCAAGCATCGGCTTGGGAAGCACCGGTACAGTGAACTGTGTACATCTGTTGTTTCCTGAGGAATTCGGGGTTCCCCTGTCTCGAAGTAATACAGGTGTTCAGAGCGATTGCTGCGTTTCTTACAGGTACAGAGCACTGTATTGATGTGTTGTTGTCTTCAAGATCAAATACAGTTAATTTGATTTAGTTGGCACTGTTTCAAGCGCTGAGCTGGTGACGATCCTGTCAGGCATTGCATGTGTTTGCTGTGCTGATGTTGATGTGCATTGCTCCAAGGCCCCAAATGTCAAGCTTTTCAATGCGACTGCTGTTGAGGATCTGATCGTGAAGGAAGACGACACTGGTAGCAAGTACGTTGCTGGCGTTGTCACCAACTGGACATTGGTGGCCCTCAACCACAGCACACAGTCCTGCATGGACCCGAACGTTGTGGAGGCAAAGGTCGTAGTGTCTTCCACAGGGCATGATGGCCCCATGGGCGCATCAGGTGAGAACTTAAGGAATAGATACAGACTTCAGTTGTCAAAACAACATGACAATGCAGTGTCCACGCACCCATTAGGTCGTGGATTGGAATTTAGCTAGTTGTTCACAGAACCTGGTAACAGCCTGGCGATTAACCATCGACAGATTGGCACGTGTTATGTTGAATGGGAAACAGAGTCCCAGGTGGGTGCATGTGATCCGGATGCCAAGACAAACGCCCCTGCAGTGCCTTCATACTTTTGCTTATTGTTTATTCTTCATGGAGAAGAAATGTGGCGTTATTTGAGGCTATGTGTTCCACTGCAGGGATAGTCTATGCCTATGTATGGCACGTGCATGTGGCCCTTCCCGTTCTGAGCAATTCCGGCACCACAGCTCGCATGTTGAAATCATGTTTTGATAGCAGTTGTTGGAATTTGACCATCTGACTGCAATTCCCACGATGCTAGGCGAATCTGGGAGCAGTCCATCATGCACCACTGTCGCCCTTGTGCAAACAGCAGGAAAGGAAAACTGAGTTTTTGGAACTGTGTTTGGACGGACGCTCGCAGGCGTGAAACGCCTGGAGAGGCTGGGGCTGGTGCCTGCCTGCCCTGGTATGTACGCCCTCGACATGAACAGTGCTGAGGACAGGATCGTCAGCAACACGCGCGAGATCGTCCCTGGCATAGTGTTGTGCGGTATGGAGGTCTCCGAGGTGGACGGGGCGCCACGCATGGGCCCCACTTTCGGAGCCATGTTCGTCTCGGGCCAGAAGGCGGCACAGATCGTCGTGGACAAGCTTGATGGGCAGGTCGCTGGCGCCAAGAAGGCGCAGGAGAAGGCAATGGCCGCTTGAACACGAGGGGCTGGCCTGCAGCCGTCTTCACCAGATGGGAACGTCCGAGGATGGGGTCGTCTGTAGGAAAGCCGCACGGTGCTGCTGCTGGCTGGTGTATCGAACATTAGCAGATGTAGAGGCAAGAATACAGGATGGGATGCGTCCATGCCCGCGAGCGGGGTGTGGAATGCAGTGGCGGACAGCACTGTTGGCTTTGTCGATGCGTGAGACGATGTCTGATGGGTGATGTGTGGTCGGTGGGTGTGGTGTTGGACTATGTAATGTTGTATGATGCAAACGTTGTAATGGGGTTCATTAGAGTCGGAGCCGCAGTTGTGTTGAGATGGGCTGGGGATGGGCCGAGCGGCCTTGAGCGAACCCTGAAATGGACGTGGAGTGATAGGGTGGGGGTTAGGTCTCCTTGTGGTGCATTTCACCTGGGTGGAAGGCCTAAAGTGGTGCGGCGGTGACATCCGCCGGCCTCCAGGCCGGTGCAACACCCCGCTGGACCTGCTGGACTCTGTAGTATAGATCAGATTTCATCGGACTCATGGTGGACACTGCCTTGTTCGGACAGAACAGGAAGCTGACGGCTGCCTCCTTGCCCTGCTCTGCGAAAATGAATGACGGTGATGACTAATGCACGGCAATATCGTATATACCGTATGTATGACTACTTCACAGGAATGCCGTATATGTCGGACCCCACCAAGCGCCCACCAGTTTCCTTCCAGTCCCCCGCCCCCCGGCAGACTGACACGCCGTGGGGTCCCCCGCTGACGCGCCCCTCTTCCCCCGCCGCGCCCGCGGTGGCGTGATAGGAATGGCCCGGCCCCCTGGGCCCCTCCATTGGCCCGCGCGGCCCCTTCCCCCCAGATCCACAACTGCGCCGGTGCCCAAATGGCGCCCGGAGGGCCGACTGGGCTCCAGGCAGCGTGAGGCGCAGGGGCTGCGAAAGGCCTCTGGGTGGCTGGAAAGGCCGGCGGCGGCATCGCGCATCTTGCGCCGCAAAGAGAGCCTGGTATGCGCGCTGCGGAGAGGAAAATGACCCAAGGGAGGACGGGAGAGGCGGCGATGGGTACGGGAGGGCGACGCGCGGGCGGCAGGAATGATGCTGTGCTGGAGTGGCTTCAGGTGGGTGGCTGGGTGGGAATTAGGCGGGAGAAGGGGCCGCATGTCCTGGAGGGCCTGGGCCGCCGCAGAGCCGGCCGCAGGGGGCGGGAGGCCGCCCGAACCCGACACGCGCCCCCGCGCGGCGTGGCGCGGTGGTTTGGTTTTTGGGCAGCGGCAGGATGATGGGCGGCCCTCGCTGGGTCCCAAGAGCTAACTGTGGGGTCGATCGGCCCCGTATCTTTGCCCTCGTGTCTCTGCGAGAACGCCCTGGGGCCATTATCTAAGATGGCTGCACCGGGTTGTTGGAGCGCCGCTGCGCCCCGGGGGATGACCCGACGTCCTGCGCAGGTCTCACGCCGTCGGCGCCGGAACGCCGCAGGGCATCGACGCGGGCGGCGGGCGCCGTTCCTGAAAGTTGGGTGCCCCTCGCATTGGGGTGGAAGCGGCGATGGCGACGATTGTCCCACGGGGCGGACCCGCCTCAGTGGCGCCCCCGATCGCTCATCGCCCCTGACCTGCTTTTCTGGCGCCGCCCGCGCGTGTGGGAACACCCCGTGATACGGGGGGAGCCTGGGCCGCGGTGCCGCGGGGAACGGCGTGGGCGGTTTGTTGGTTGTTTTGTTGACCGTCCCCCTTCTGACCTTCGAGTCAGCGGCAGGCAAAGCAGGGGTCGCGCACCCTGGCGGTGGCATTTTGATGGCCAGGGCCCATCCGTCGGCGGCGGATTCTTAGCACGTTTGTGATGGCCAGGGCCCATCCGTCGGCGGCGGATTCTTAGCACGTGTGGCCTTCCTTTCTGGGGGACATCCCCGGCCTCTGCTTTGTTGCACGCGCGGCTGATGGACGCCTGGCTGGCGGAATCGGGGACGGCGCTCGACGCACCGATCGCCCGCAAGGACGCTATTTCGTGGATGGCCGGTGGGCGAAGGGCCGCTCCACGCGCATTTGGCCCGGCAGTGCCAGTTGTCCCTCCCTACCACTCATCCTCAACCTTCTGCGCGTCTCTTCCCTTCGCATGAAAAGTCTCGATTCCTTCTCTCACGCACGGGTTTGCCCGTTTCATCAACCGCGCCCCGCCGCGTCGGTCCCCTTCCCCGCCCGGGGCGCCCTGCTCCGAGCATGGATTTCAATTCACCTGAGCACCTGTCCTTCGCCCCATCGCATCAATTCCGCTGAGTGCCCGTCCTTTCTTTCGGCCCACTGACCAGGTCGCCACCCACGCCCCGGCGGCGGCGGGGGCCCACCAAGCCGGCGAAGAAGACTCCAGCGATGAGCCGCGCGGATCGCAGTCCACCAGCGGCCCCGTGCCGCCCCTTGCCCCAGATTCCCCAGACTGGCCCCCCGGCTGCGTGGAGCTCGTCGTGACCGTCTTCTCCCCGGATGGCGACGCCAGAGGGCGGGGGCCCAAGGCGGACGCAGCGCTGATGGCCGATGTGCTGGATTGCCTGCCACCCAGCGTGGCCTTGCTGCACAGGGGGGAAGAGGAGCAATTTGGGGATCGGGGCGAGATAATGGCGCCGGCGCCAGAAGTTCGGCTGGTTTTCCCGCCGTGCGTGCCGTGCGGCGAGGAGATGAACGTGGAGATCCACCTGGGGCCGTGCGGGTGCGATCGCCAGCGGGGCGTCAAGGTGGTGGGCGCGATCGGCGGGGAGGTGTTCCTGGATGAGTCGGCCCAGGGGGCGGGCTCCGTGCTGAGGTGGGGAGGGTGAAGCGGAGGGGCCCGTCGTCGGAAATCTGCTGTTGATTTCGCTGGTGTTGGTCAAGGCGCTGCCCTGGCACCTGTTTTAGACCCTGGCGGGGAGGGGGGTGGGGACTGTGGTAGGACAGGGTGTGGGCCTTGGTGAATGTGTGGGCCAATGTGTTTCAGAGCACAAGAAGCCACGGCATGCAATGGAGCACCCCTGTCCTGTCAAGATTAGGTGGTCTTCCACTTTGCAGCACTATGGAGCTCCAGAACGGCAAGAATGAAATCGAAAGCCATAAGCATGCATGAGAACCACCAACATGCACTGTGAAGGTGTTCAGAATACTGCAAAAAAACTCAACAAATTTTGTTTGTCATAGCCAAAAATGAGCATAGCAAGTGCCACATCGTCCATTGGCTGGATATATTTGTGCCTGCTCACCACAACAACAGTTTGTGTGGCGTTGTTGTTGCAAGCCCTGCCATGCTGTGAATGCCACGACCCTTTTGAGGGGCGAGGCAGTCTCATGTGCTTGGGCAGATAGTTTGGCAGACTGAGCAGTGTCGTTTTGCCAAACTCAGCAAGCCTGGTGAAGTGGAGGAGAAAAATGTCTGTGCGAAACCTTGTGTCCATGTGTGTATGGACGTTTTGCAAGCACAAGCACAAAACTCTATTTCACAGAATGGTATAATGAAGTTGAAAACGGCCTCATCAGGTCATCGCATTGGTGTCTCACGAGTAGGTGCTCGTCCTGAGTAGTCCTCTGGATCATGTTGCAGGCAGTTTAGGACTGTGTATTGAAGTCATCAGTCTCAACCATACACAACTGTTGTGCTGTTGTCTAAGCTCATTGCTGCCACCATTCCTCACCCACCAGGACTAATGCCTGTTTCTTGTTGACTGTGAAAAGGGTGAGGATACCAGAATTGCAGCCTGGCATCGTCAACTTTATGCTCACTGGCAAAGGAGAGGGCCACATCGCAGAGTGCAAAGTCGCCCCTCTGGGCGTGCTGCCAAAGGCCACTGCAGACGATGGCATTAAGCTGTATTGCAAGTTAATACGCGCCATGTGCAGACCTGGAGCCACACTGAAACAGGACCAAAGAAGTTCGACAGATCATCCTTCAAGGGTGGTCTTTGCTGAGGAGAGTGTGGAGGAACAGGTGTGGGACAATTTCTCTACCTTCCTTCTGGAGCTCGAGGCGATGCTGGAGGCCTTAGATAGGTACAGGGTTGGTGAGCTTGAGTCGCTGCATGGTTCTGCCTGGGAGCAAGTCCTGCAGAACCTCATCTGCCACATGGTAGAGTTCGATGCATGGGAAATGATTTGCTTCCTGCTGGGGAGGTGTGTGGATGCCAATGTGGCTGTGGACCTTGGCGGTTTCATTCCTTCCCTGGAGGACTTGGTGTCTGGTGTTGGGCTGAAAGCGCAAGTTCTTGGCACTGGTGTCCAGCCTGCCAGATCTGCATCGCCGGACCTCTGTGTGACTGATGAGGCAATGGAGGGTAGCACAACAGCTGCTGATTCTTTTAGTCTGTCACCTGCCGGGTCTGAGCAACGAGGCAGCAAAGGCCTGGAAGACGTTGCCGCTGTCAACCACATTTGCGATGGGGCGCTGAAGCCGGAATTCTCTTGTGGGGAAACCTCTGAGGGTGGGAATGGGAAACGAGATGTTGAGGACGAACGAGGTGGAGGCAGTTTTGATGAGCCTGCACATGGGTGTCTGTTGGAGATGGATATGAACGATGGTAACATGACTGAAGCAAGTGGTATTGGGCAAGCAAACGAGTTGGATGGCATGGAACCTTCAGACAGTGGGCCCCTAGCTTTTGATAACCCATCCTCTGTGGCCCCCGTCGCCACTGTTGGATTGGTTGAAGAGCACAGGCTTGACCCACAGACCCAACGTGATGTAGGGAAAAGCTTGTGGCCAAAAAGTACAGGCGCTTGGGCAGGCCAGATTTGCGAGAGGGGCTTGACCCAGGACCAAAAATCCAAGCAAGCTCAGTCTTTGATCAAGCGTTTCCAGCAACTGGCACCGAGCAGCGCCCCGAGGAAAGCAAAACGCGATGCCAGTCCCAAGGAGAAGCTGCAACTGCAGTTTGTCTTCAGTAAGCCAGGTCGTGCACAGGCCCTGGATCTCAGCAGCCATGATGACGACCAGACACTGTCTGGCAGCAGCCTCATAAGTAGCACTGTCCCCAGCTCGCTGGCTCTCACAGACAACACTGGCAGCAGCGGAGAGGTCCCAACACCACGTGAGGGGTCACCGGGCGTCCTGCACAGCATGTCCAGCATCGTGCGCAAGGTTTTGGGACTGAAAGCCTCCAGGCAGGCCGGCGGTGCTGTGGAAGAGCCACAGGACTGCATTCCAACAGCAGAACCTATCCAGGGGTCTGACGCCCACTTGGAACCTGTTGTCCCCAAGGCTGACTCTGGCTACTTTTCCTGATGTGCTTACCCACAGGGGATTGCAGATTGACCCTTTTGTTTGGGACGGGTTGGAAACGAAGCAACTGAACGAGGATGGAGGGGGCGTGGCACGACATAGCTGCCTGCTGTGGCAGGTTTAGCTGGCCATGCAACAGAATGAGCGGTGTCATCACGTGTGGTGGTGGTGTTACAAGCGGTGGTGATGTTGAGGAAACTGCCATGGGTGTGGGAGGGTGTGGGAGAGTGTGGGCAGTGTGTTGTTTCTCTGCGGTAATGGTGTCTTGCGGTGTTGCATCGACCCCTTGTGGGCCGTGCTCCCGTCCTGTCCAGTGAGGGGTTGGTGGGTGGAAGTATGCACTGCCCTGGGCACCATGCCCAGTGACACTGAAACGATATGGTGGAATGATTTGGGTCGAACGTTCTTTCTGAGAATTGAGGGGACTGAATGGGCTGCGATGGAAAGATGCGGATTTCAAATGTTTAAAGGAACCTTTGTTCGTGCGCATGGGCTATCAGGGCGATAATAGATGGGCCATAGAGCTAGATGTGGACCCGCTTGTTAAGTTCTGGTTATTGTTTAATCCTTACTGATGGGGTAGGTGGAGCGGATGATGAGGTAGTGAATTTTGGAGTGGGTAGGGCAGGAATCCATGCATTGTGTGGATCCATCCATACTCCAGCAAGGTCATTCTGTTCTGATGATGTGTTAGTTTCCAATTATGGGTTATATTCCAGCTGTGGGCCCTTGTCTTTGTTGTTGGCAGTCTTCTTCTTCCAGCGCGTGTGCTGGTGCTGTGGCCGATTCCCAGATTTCGCATGCATTGGGTGGCAATTAGTAGGCCTTGCGGCCGAATACCTACCTGTTGTGGGGTTGGGCCTGTAGTTGGCGTGGGAATGAGCGATATGTGGCATACCGAACCCTCTAAACTGCTTTGTATAGGTGCGGTTGCTGCTTGCAGTCTGCGATGAGCACAGGAAGCCATTACTCAGTGGAATTTTCATGTGTTGTAAGATGGTTCGTGGGGCTGTTGATGCTCACTGGAAGCAGCTGAGAAAGCTACTGTGATGCCGTCATCATGATGACCCAGCAAGTGCTATCCTACCATTGGGTGTGCTGCAATAGAGGACACCACCCGACCTGACTGTTTTCTCTGCAACCGGCACCCTTCACCACGTAGCTCAAAGTGCACAATGCCTCATCCATTGTCGAGTTCGCCCCCACCAGCTCGTGTTGACCCTGAGTGTGCTTTGCTCAACCTGTACTACGCACAATTTGAAGCAGCAGCACACTGCATCTCGCCCCCAGCCGAGGCCGCACTTAGAAGGCTGGGGCGGGTGGACATGAAACAGTTGGAGAACATGGGTCTCTTGCAGGCGCCCTGCAGGATGAGACCAGTGAATCCCCAGCCGCTGCATCTCAACATGTCGCAAATGAATAGACGCTCATATCGCAGGTCACCACGCCAGAGTTGCTGTGCCAAATTGTTGCCTCTTGGGGGTTGTGCAAGCAGGCTTGTTGAACATGTGTGTTTCTGTCGATAAGCACACATAATCATGTGTAATCATGGCTTTTCCATATGTTAAAACTGCCGTTAGTCATGAGCACCGGCACATCAAAAGCGGACTCATGACCAACACAGGGCAGATGACTGGGCCACTATCAACAACCAGTCAGGATGAAAATGGAAATATAATTAACTATCGTGTTAATGAGTTTCTGACAAGGACGACGTTGGGTGGGCGCACGCCGACCATGCTGGGCCGGGCTGCCTTTCTGGACCGTTTCAGGGCCATCAAACGCCAGTTTCTGTCAACCCTGTACCCGGCGTCAGTTCTGACCGCCGGATCCATGGGGCAACTGGGTGATCCTTGTAACTTGGGCATAGACAAGGGGACCAGTCAATCTGGCCCTTGGGTTTGGCGGGAAGTTTGGCGGCAAGTGGGAACGGCTATTTGGGGTGTGGCCTATGGCGCCCCCCTTTATCTTGTTTCGCTTCGCGCCAAAGCTTTAGCACAACCCGGAACCACAGAGTGGTTCGACCCTCCGGCCTTGGTGCCGAGTCCTTTCTGTATGAACCCCAGCTTCGTTTCAACCAGCGCCTCCCTGACTGACCGATAGAGCTCACGTGGGTCTCCGACCCACGCTTACTCCCCCGGTCAGTCAACAACCGTGTGGCCAGGCCTGACTTCACGGGGTTTCCAGCCTGGTTTGACATCCGCAAGACCGGCCAGGGCCAGACCGTCGCTGCTCCCCTTGGGCCGAACTCCGGCTATTTCCAGGAGTACCCAACCTGGGCTCCTTGGGTCGCGTGGCATTTCGACCACATGGCAGCCTTCGTGGATCTGGTCGCCCATCCCAGCCTCCCTCCTTCGATTTGCGACCTCCTTCTGCCCTATGTCTACACTTTGGTCGCCATCATTGAGCGACAAGTCGATCAGCTCCAACTTCACTGGGTGCGCGCCAAGCATCGTGGCACTGGCCATGAAGGAACCTAGCGGGCATTGCAAGCCCAGATCCGCCTGAGCGAGCCCGAGGGTGGACTCACCACCGAGATGATCGAGGGACGCTCGGCGCCATCCGCAAGGAGCTTTTGACACAAGAAGTCAAGCTTGCGACCAAGGCAGCCGCGGCCAGCTGCGTGGGGAAGCCGGGGGGCAGCGATTCCACCCCCAATTCGAGTGGCCAGCTGGGGAAGAAGGGCAAGTGGCGGGGGCAGCCTCCAGCGGCGCGTCCACCTCCGAACGCACAGGGGACTTCCCCTATGACTGCACTCATGGACGACTTTTGGCATGGTGGAGGATTGGAGCGCCGTCACACATCCTCCGTTGGATCCATTTAGGCGTGCTGCTGCCATGGGGGCTGCAGGGACCTCCCCCGCTGTTCGACCGTGGCGAGTACCCGATCCGTTCGGTGGAGGAGCGAGCGGGATGGGAGGCCCTCCGAGAGGACTATCTGAGTACGGGGGCGATCGTCAAGGTAGCTCCTGGTCCCGATTCTTGCTTTTCCCATGCTTTTCTAGTTGAAAAGGGGCAGGAGAATGGGGTGATGAAATACAACTTTGTGTTGACGTGCATCGGATTAATCCCCATCTCCGCAACATGGGATTGCGGTATTAGAAACTACGGGATTTCGGTCACTTGTTGAAAAAAGACGACTTTCTAGTGGGCTTCGATATGAAGGACGCATACCATCATTTGAGGAGGCGTGCAGCTGACGAATGCTTTTAACAATTCCATATGGGCGGCGAAGTTTTTTGCTTGCCAAGCCCTTCCCTTTGGGCTTTCTTTCTCCCCATACCTTTTCATGCATTTTATGTTGGTCGTCACCCAATTTCTCTGATTCCCCGGATCTTGTACCAAAGCAGCGCGGGGGTTTCGTTTTGGGTGTCTGGTGGGGAATGATTCGATTCAGAAGTATTACTTGAGGTATACAATTGATGACCCCGCCATCCTATTGGTTTACCTCGATGACTTTGTAGCGGCAACACGAGATCTGGAAAAATTGCGAGAATGATCACAATCGCTTCGAGAGATTTTTCAGGCTTTGGGGACTCATTTTAAGAGCAAAAAATGTCAGTGGATTCCTGCTCAGGTCAAGCAGCATATCGGGGTGGTCATAGGCACCTACACTTGTCGTTTTTATGTACCACCTGATAAGTCGGCATTCGTTGCTGAACGGGCTAGAATTCTCTATGAACGGTGATGGCTGGTGGCCCGCAATCTCGCCCATTTTTGTGGGCACGCCATCTCGCTTCATTCGGCCTTTCCACCAGCCCGCCTTTTTCTCCAAAGTCTCTATGCGGTTCTATGCACCAAGCGATCTTGGTAGGATCGCCTTCAGTTGCCACTACAGGCGTGTCTCGATCTAGAAGCTTGGGTCAATATTCAACAGTGTGAGAGCCGCCCACTCAACCCCGATGCGGTGCCTTTCACGGGCACACTCACTCCGGATGCTTTGTTGAGGGGCTGGGGGGCTACTTTCACTCCCCCCTTCTGATCAGCCGCAGTTGACCTGAGGATTTTTTGACCGACCATTAATGCATATTAATGTGCGTGAATTGCAGGCGGTGGCTCTGGCAATTTGAGCCGTTTTTCTTGTGGATTCCTGCTCGATCTTGGAGTGGTCAATCCGCACCACCTTGTGGCCGGTTCGTTCCAACACCATTCTGGCCTGTCCCAAATCCGGTCCAAATCCGTTCTTGGGGAATGGCCCAGGAATGGACTGGGATGGGAACTGGAATAGATCTATTCCTGGGAAGGGAATAGACACCGTCCCCGTTCCCATTCCAACTCCATCCGACCGGGCTCACCTCTGTTCATGGTGAACATGCCCGGCCTACGGAGAATCAACATTTCCCCCAAGGAGATCTGCCAAAGCTACGGAAACCACATGGCGGATGGCCAATCCGGAGCCAAGATGATAGCTTCCACATCTCTGTGCACTGTCAAGAACGTTGTCAGGCATGGTAGCTATTGCGACGAGTAGCACCGATCGGCGCCCAGCGCACTTTCACCCACGGTCGTCCCCAGGCACAGGAGGCAGACCGTAAAGGGATGGCTTACATAATACACTTCAGGTCAAGTACGCAGTATTGCGTTGGACGCCAACTCACATCTTGTCATGCAGCATCACCGTCTCCACCTTTCACATTCACCATGTACGCCATGTATCTCCTTGTACATATACAACGTCCTCACAGTAGCAATGATCAGGGCGGATTGGCTTAATTGGCCTCGCCCCTCCAGTCTTGCAGAAATGCATCCACCCCTGAGGTGAGGGGCTCGTGATACCTGGAGTTGAAGGTGGGGCAGAGGGAATTCTGATGGGAAGCAATACGGTCGATTGTGTGGAATCCAAACCCTTCTGTAATCATTTGGAAGAGGGAAGGATTGGGTTCGTAGTCTCCACCCTTGACCCTTGAAAATTGATTAGGGGTCATGTTGAGCTTGGACAAGATATACTCCGGATCGATCAGCAAGGTGTGGGCTGAACAAATCTGCTGCAGTTGGTGGAGTCGC